CCGATTCTGTGTCTCCCTCTCTCTCTGCCCCTCCCCCGTTCATGCTCTGTCTCTCTCTGTCCCAAAAATAAACAAACGTTGAAAAACAAAAAAAACAAAAAAAAAATAAAAAAATAAACTTACTGCCTCATTATTTAACATAGTAACATATTTTCAGAAGTAAGAAAATAATTTAAAAGTATAATTGATCCAAATACACAAAGAAAATGATTGTTTTCTAATAAACAACTCTGTGTGTAACATTGCAGTATACCTTTTAACTCAGCAAAGTTTGCAAAGTCAGTATAACAATCTTTCTTCAAAATATGCCTTCAAAATAAATTTTTTTTTAACATTTATTCATTTTTGAGAGACAGAGAGAGCGAGCATGAGTGGGGGAGAGGCAGAGGGAGAGCGAGACACAGCATCCAAAGCAGGCTCCAGGCTCTGAGCTGTCAGCACAGAGCCTGACGCGGGGCTTGAACCCACGAACCATGAGATCATGACCTGAGCTGAAGTTGGGTGCTCAATGGACTGAGCCACCCAGGCACCCCTCAAAATATGCCTTTTGAGTGACGCCTGGGTGGCTCAGTCAGTTAAGCATCCAATTCTTGATTTTGGCTTAGGTCATGATCTCACAGTTCATGGGATTGAGCCTCGCATCAGGCTCTGCACTCATGGCTCGGAGCCTGCTTGGGATTCTCTCTCCTCCTCTCTCTCTGAAAATAAACTTAAAAAAATAAATAAAGGCATTATTTTAAAATATGCCTTTTGAAGTCTATTAAATACCTGTCTAAAAATATCCCTTGCAAAATTCTTTATCTTTTATTTCCTAAAGTCTTGTGCTTATGTAAAAGTGAAAATTTCTAAATTATATGTGCTATGGACTATGTTTGTACCCCCATCCACATTCTCTTCTCCATTTATGTTACAAACTTTAGCCCCCAATGTGATGGAATTAGGAGGCGGGGCCTCTGGGGGGCCTTTGTCTTTGAATTTTCAACTAAGGACTTGTACTTTCATATAATCAGGAAAAATATTTATATTAACATCATTGCTTAAGTTATAAAGGAATACAGAGCCTGTTACAAAGATATTTGTATAGAAGTGTGATATTGCAAATTAATGAAATACATTAATCTGATTTCTAAGAAAATAGAGTCTGAAGATTTAAACTTTCTCAAAGGAGAAAAGTTGTTTCCCTGTACAAGTTCTCACTCTACTGGTGACACAGAGAATAAACTTATTCTGACATTTCTGAAGCACAGTAATTGCATTATTTTCCACAAGCACTAGAGGGCAGGGTTTTCACTATAAAACCCCGTTTCACCAATTATCATTGAATTATATGCGTTTTTTAGTATGTGGTTTCTGTTAATATACAATCCCCTATCACTAAATTTATTATATGCCTTATCTGTATCAACACATGATAATATTAAATTACATTTTCAGTCATGGTCTTGATATATTTAATAGCTGATTTAGCATATATAAAATTACCTAACATACATGAGGAAAGGAATTTAAATATATACATATGTACATACAATGTATATTTCAAAACTGTGGTTTTTAGGACTGTGTTAACAAACATACCATCTAAGTCTCTAATCTGGCACTATCTCATATTAAAATTGAATGACTAATAACACTGAAAACTGAGGTCCATTGTTACTGGTTCTAGTTTAATAAAAAAAGCAAAGATACTTTTTAAGAAACTAAATGCTCTGAGCATTCCAGGTATTTCAGAGAACACTGAAATGCTTTTCTGTAACTCCAAAAGCTTCTATCATCTATGAGGCCTGTGAATTCTTGTATGGGTAAAAGAGAATCTGTGAGGGAAAACAGTATTTCAGGAAGAGAAAACAGTAAGAGTAAAGTCATGACATCTCAAAAGTACAGTTTATTCAGGGAATGCCAGGGTAATCTGATATATGGCTATAGAAAAGGGTGCACTGGAGAAATAGCTGAAGATAAAGTTGGAAAAGTAAGGAAGGATCACTTGAGGACAGACTGTTATGCTGTACTTGGGAGTTGGACATCATTTTGAAGGCAATGGGAAAGTCACTGAAGACTTTTAAGCAAGGGAAGAGCTGCAACAGAGATCTGTTTTTACAGAGGTAACAAAATACAGGACGAATATGAAGAGTGAAAGCTTGGAGTAGAGGAGACCAAGGAGTGAAGTGCACAGGCTAAGGCCTTAAAAAGGGCAAAAACACTGAGGGTGCAAAGACAAAAGTATTCCAGTAACATTCCAAAAAACAGGAATGGCTAGACTTGGCAAAGGATAAATACAGTGAATACGGGTTTCAAGCCTTGATAACTGGATGGAGAGTGATGTCTTTAAGACAAGCTAGAGTGTAAGTAATTTTAAGTGCAAGGTGTTTTCTGATATCCAGGCTACAAGATCTACTAAATAGCTACAAATGTAAGGCTGAAAATCCAGAGGGAAGTGTGATATAAAGAAATAAAAGGCAAAAATAAGATGTTTTTTTCGTGGCTTATAAAAAGAGTCTCATTATATTATTGACATTAGATGCATACCTCTTATTACCAAGTAATTAATGTCATCAAGCATCACGAATATGAATTTGAATTGAACACAGTATCACACAGGAAAATAAACTTTGCAAATGAATGGTAGTCACATAAACTATGGGATGGCATTGCACTATCAGGAACAGCTTATTCAATTTAATTATTACTCATTATCCACTTTGAACACACACATACAAAATGTATTGCCAAGTATGATTTATGTTTCATGTACAGATAGGGATTTATTAAGACATTTAAGATACACAAACAAATTTTATCTGAAGTAAAGCCACAAGTTTTAAAGACAGATTTATAAGACAGAAAAATATGAGCTTACTAATAAAGAAAGCTGGTAATAACAATTACTAATAAATATCATTAGTAAGGGCAGGAAGCTTAGTCAGTTAAGCATCTGACTTCAGCTCAGGTCATGATCTTATGGTGTGTGAGTCTGAGCCCCATGCTGGGCTGTGTGCTCTCAGCACAGAGCTTGGATCCTCTGTCCCCTTCTCTCTCTGTCCCTCCCTCACTCACGTTCTCTCAGTCTCTCTCTCTAAAATAAGCATTTAATAAATAAATATCATTAGTATAAAACTTCCTATTTACAGAGTCTCTCAAATACATTTTATTTGATCTCTACAAACTGTCCATAAAGTAAACTGGTGCTGGTAGTTATAATAGCAACAATAACAACCATAATACTATGATAACACATGAATTTTAAACCAGAGTTTATTTTCTACTCTTCACCTTTTCCCCAACCCCTCAGTTTGTAGAATACACTAGACGTCTTAGAAACTCATATTTGGAAATTTATAGTATTTAATACCCGAGCTTTCTTGACATAAATCAACTAGATTAAAACTAGGTTAGAACTGAATTTTGTGAAAGTCTTTGAACTATAGAAAACACAGACCAAGGAAATCTAATATTGTTCCACTATGAAATGCACTTAATCTGATCTAGACATTTAAATTGGGTGCCATAAATGCTTGGTAATTATTACAGAAAACTGAAATCTGGGGAAAAGTCCAATCCAACTTAAGTTGATATAAATCTGACCATTTATAGATGCATCTAGTAAAACTCTCACTATGCTGATATAAATTTAGCTTTCATAAACTGTTTAAATGAAATTCTAGCCCGAGAGGACAAACATCCATCAAAATTTCTTACTTCATAGAACAACTCTTGAATTTCATTTTTTAAAAAACCACTGCATTATCTAGGTAAGGAGTTTATTTTTTATTTTTTATTTTTTTTAACGTTTACTTATTATTTTTGGGACAGAGACACACAGAGCATGAACGGGGGAGGGGCAGAGAGAGAGAGAGACACAGAATCTGAAACAGGCTCCAGGCTCTGAGCCATCAGCCCAGAGCCCGACGCGGGGCTCGAACTCATGGAACGCGAGATCGTGACCTAGCTGAAGTCGGACACTTAACCGACTGTGCCACCCAGGCGCCCCTAGGTAAGGAGTTTAAAAGAGTCTCCATTTATCTAAAGGCTGAGCCAATCTGGAAACTTTAAAGTCATTTATATTTTATAGAGACTGGGAACTCAACATGTTATCTTACAAATAAGCAGCCTCTTGCTTCTATATATTTTAGCATTTCAACAGGGTTGGAATGGGTTAAAAAAGAAACAAGAATACTTACTTGAACCTGGCAGGTGAAAGAGGAGTAGGAGGAAACATTCCTGGTTCAAAAGAGTCAAAATAAGTCACTGTCCAAGAAAAGCTACAACAGGAGAATCCGGCAGATAGAGAGATTATAAGTAGAGTCCAGAATCCTTAATGGGAAAAGAGGAAGAAAACTTTAATTATTAACAGCAAAGCAATTTAAATTAAACCAGTATCTTCATGTTCAGAAGATATGTGTATTTCTGAACTTCTGAATTGCGTGTAGGTGATACAAGAGATTTGAGCTTAGTACAAGCTAAACCATGTAAAGTGTAAAATACTAAAGCACAATTAGAAGTCATATCATTCAATATTTAAATTGTAATTGAATAAAATATAAAATAATTAAAAATATAAATAATTTAATAGTTTGGTATTTCAATTATCATTTAATATGTGGAAAAGAGTACAAATTCAACTTAATATATCTTCAGTTTTACAAAATTGGACTATAGAAATAGTTAAAATACTTCACTGTTAAAATGTCTTGACATTTTTCATTTAACTCTATGAATCACAGCTTGCTATCTTTTATTACCTACAATAAGTGTTTCTTTTCTTTCCATACTATGCACTTTTGACGTAAGAATTTTACAGTGTATACTCTTTATACCTTTCCTATAAACATTATTAACCTAAGCTGATTCAATTTTCTCAGTATATGGACAAAAGTTAACTCACAATTTACAAATGAGTTGGGATCCTAAATTTTATTTTCAGAGGGGAAGACTGGAAGATTTTCTCAAAGAATTCTTAAGTCAAAAGCATGGTATTATCTTCAACTCAAGGAAGGGGGAAAAGGTTGAGAAATGGAAGAATGGGGGGAATGAACAAAGCAACAGTAGAGGGAATAAATTAATTTGAAGGTTTTTAGACACATACTCAAACTGCCTCCTTAAGAGAGTTTATTAAGCTACCACTACTGATTGTGTGTCCCGGGCTGTACCTACTGAGGTAGTATAGGGAGGGAGGAAAGGCTGTGAAGACTATGGTTGAGAATGATATATGAACTACCAATTTCCTGGCTGCACAAAATGCACAACTAAGATGCCTTCTGGCAAGAAGCGGTTAAGAAATACGTGCGCTGGACTGTTTATAAACCATACGAAGTCCGGTAACAGTCCGATAAAACTGCTAAAAGACAAACTCAGAGAAATGAAGTATTAAATACTGTGGCAAAGTATTTTTGAAAGATTAACCTTAATCTTTTCTCACTAGTTCCCTTTCCTTTACCCCCCTTTTAAGGAGATAAGGAACTGTGTGTTCACTGCCACAGAAAGATGTGACAGAGAAACAGCCTCAGTGTCTCTTTGGTTTTTATGTTGCAAAATGATTCAGGGAACTAGGAGGATAAATATAAGCAAGAGGGTAGACAAACACAAAATGTCTTGGATAGACAGCAAAGATGAGTTGATCGGGTATAGACAAAACCTTTGTGTAGAACGGGGAGAAAGAGAGTGAGGGCTTTATGCACAGGTGAGGAAGACTCTCCTGGTTTGAAGAAAGTGGTGTGTGTGCGTGTACGGACAGGAGATAGTACTGCTGGCACTTCCTGGCAGAGCCAGGAGGAGGCCACACACCACCACAGAGGGATTGTAGTTATATACAGCAGCTTGGCAGATGGATCCAGAGCCAAGCCTGCAGATGTCTCTCTCCTAAGTGGGGCACAGAAACAGCAGATGGTCATGTGGCTACAAAAGTGGTACATCTGAGGAGCACCTGGGTGGCTCAGTTGGTTAACTGTCCAACTTCGGCTCAGGTCATGAACTGGAGGTTTCCGAGTTAGAGCCCGGTGTTGGGCTCTGTGCTGACAGAACACAGCCTGGAGCCTGCTTCAGATTCTGTGTCTCCCTCTCTCTCTGTTCCTCCTCCGCTCACACTCACTCTCTCTCTCAAAAATAAATAAAAAGATTAAAAAAAAAAAAAAAAGTGCTACATCTGAAAGGCCATCCTGACCAGAAAGCAAGATGCTTCTGCAGTAACTCATTTGAGCAAATGCTTTGAGGAGTAGATTGCATCCCACCCCAACATCCTGGCACAGTGTCAGACTTTAGAACCTTAACTGAACCTAGGACTGGGTAGACAGAACCTTAGCAAAGACTGAGGTACAGTCTTCCTGCCAACCCAGTGAGATAGAAGACCAAAATAAAAATGATAAGATTACTTATAGCTGTACACACAGCTACAACTTAAGGATGGTTATTCTGCCAAATAGCTATTATTTGTTATTATTTAGATGAATACTGCTAAGGGGGATAAAACAACTGACAGGTTTACACTAAGTTTAACATCTTACAATACATAAAGTCTGCAGAACAAAGACAGTAATTATGAAAATTCAACTATCTGGGGACTGTTGTAGAATAATGGAAACTTCTAAATATCTAAAAAATGTGAGAAGGACACAAAATAACAGGTAAAAAAGTAATAAAATGTGAGGCTCTCTAAAGCCCATCAAGCCTTTTCACTCAAGTGAAATAGAACACTCGTCAAAATTAACATAAGAATATTCTTCAGTTTTCAAAACTGACCACTATTCTACAACCTAAGTGCTTACCTCACCTTGCGTAGTTTTACTTTATATTCACTTTGAACGAGTCAAGAGTTACATCACTGACAAAAGCCAATTCATAATGATATGCCTAAAAAAGTACATTGTAATATTATGGTCTACAAGTGCTTATACTTCAGAAAATGACTCAATTTGTTTATGAACAAGCAGAAAATCCACACAAGTTGGTAACTACACAACTAAATCTGCACCAAGTCCCTTCCTCTAGAACCCCTCATGCTAAAAACTTGACAACTAATGTTACGTAAACCCATTTTACCAAAAGTTAACATAATTTTTAAAAAGTACAAAAGCATATAAAAACTAAGTTAGAGTCTTCCTACCTCAATTCACCAATTCCACTCCTAAAAGCAATCAGCTAAGTTGTGCATCTTTTCTAAGTTATAGTTTTCTACGTAATGTAAATATATATATATGGAGCTAGTTATGTACAATATACATGTAGATTCCATTTTCCACAAATAGGATTCTCACCAGAAAAGCTGTCCTGCGCTTTGCTTTTCTCACATAACAATGTTGGAGACCTTTCATATCAGTACACATAGCTACAGTTCTATTACATATTTTTATTATTCCACTATTAAAAACTATGTTGCAAGTAATATCCTTAAACTATACAGTTATACAAGGATATCTCTAACAAATTTCCAAAGAACTGGTGTATCAAAGGATATAGGCCTTTAAATAAATACATACATCCTTCGTTCTTATCTATAGTTCAATTTTCATCAGTTGATGGAAATTCATCTTTCCACCAATTGAAACGTCTGGGCTTCAATGTTTTTCCCTAAAGCAAAGATGGGGGTAGGTGGAAAATTCCTATCCCCATCTTTTTGCTGGAGTTTTATATTCACTTATCTCATGGTATATTTTGTTTTGGCTCACTTTTTAAAATAAATGATTTTGGCGTCAAAGTGCAGTTACTACTCTAAAAATATGCTGGCAGTTCTGTATTTCTATAAAAGCTGCCAACAAAGAAAGATTATTGTATGTTTTAAATATTTTATTTAGCACTTTCAGGTTTACAGGGATGAGGTGACTTTCAGAAGCTTTATGAAATCAGATATGTGAAGGCAATAGTTTGCACATTATAATGTAAACAGAAACAACTGGAAAAACAAACAAACAAAACACCTCCCGTGATCCGATATTGGGAAAAATTTATTAAAACACTGTTATGCAAATACATTCTTCGTAAAAACTTATTTGTGCCATAAGCAAACAATGAATGAGTAAATGTCACAGCATGCTGATAATGTCCAAGTCCTATTTCAGAGCTTCCGACAATTTGAAAATTTTAGATAAAATTGTATACTATGAAATACTACAGTGCAGTAACAAAAAAGAATGAGGTAGAACTATATATAAAGATACAGATTAATCTCCAAGACATTTTAATAAAGCTGCATGACTGCAATTATGTTCTTTCTATGACAATGACAAAATCACATTTTGAATGATCCTATACATATAAATGAATAGAAAAAGATCTGAAAAAATTTACAAGTACATTAGTGGGAATCTTTGCTTTAATTGTTGGAATTTCTTTCCAAGTGAGACTATATTATTTCTATAACTTATGAAATTAAAAATTAAAATTAGTCTTTAGGTAATTTTAAAAATTGTAAAAACTATAGCTGGTTATTAATAAAACCTTAGATGTACTCATGCCTAAAATTAATCAACTATTTTTAAATGTTAAGCAAAGTTTTGCAACTTTATCAGATTCTATAGTTTTCTAACTTAGGAGGGCGAAAACATTTTAAATAATTTAGTATTTTCTCTAAAATTCAACACAGTCTACCGATAGCTCAAGTCTTCAAATCCCTTAACCAACGTGTGTCTCTGCATGTTAAGACAGAAAGCTAGATAGCCTTTGATCTTCAAACTTATTATTTCCAAATACAGGAGCAGATGAAAGCATTCTTTCCTCCCCTTCCAGTGCCACCTGATAAAGGTCTCTACCCAACTGCCTGTTCACCTGCAGCTCAGCATGTAGTAATTTCACTCCCATTCCTGCTGAAAAAGGCAAGGAGAGTGGAAGGAAACATTCTGAAGGATGAAGTGACAAAAACTTGAAAAATAAGTAATATCTGTAGTTTCCAACCATGTTAAATCATCCAATTCACATGGGAAACTTTTAGAAAACTTCTTTATCATGGACAATTTCAAACATACACAAAAGTAGAGGGAAAAGTACAATGCAACCCCACGGATGGACCACTCATCTTTATATAACTAACTCGTCATATCTTGTTAAGCCTATATTACTCTTGGAGGCATATAATCTTTAGTATAATAGGCAAAATAGTTATTACTATCATCTAAGGTCCAAAATACCCTTTCCCTTATCTTTTTTTTCTTTCTTTCCTAATTTTAAGTCATTTGATGAACAATTTACAGATGACTAAAAAGGCCATGAAAAAGCTTTGTTAGAAATTTTAATAAAATATAAATACAACAAATCCAAAGTTTCATTCTGAATTTCCTTGGTTTTAAAAATATACACCCTAGAAATGGCCATATACTCTTAAGTGC